TTTTTTTCAAAAAAAATGCATTTTGTAATAGCGTTATGATGGAGAATGTATAATTAAAATAGAAGAAAAAATTTTGAATTTGCATGGAATATTATTTTATTAAAAAATTTGTGATTGAAAATATAGTCAAATCATTGCTAAAGAATACATTCTGATGGAAAAAATGGGACTCAAACAAGGGCTTATTAAATAAAGGTTTTTTTTGTTAAAAAAATGTTATAAGAAAAATAAGATACAAACAATTACATACACATGAAAATCTTATATACAAAAATTAACAAATTTGAAGAGCAATTTTTTGAAATGCTTTTTAATTTACTCGAGTTTGAAATAAATCACCTAAATTTTGTAATAACCAAACACAGCGTAATTGCAGAAATTTAATCCACCTTATTGCTAAACTTGTTTTTATTTTCACACAAACTAAGAAAATATAATTAATATAGTTAAAAATATAATATATTTTTTTTACATTTTTTATAATATACTCTTATATTAAATAATGATTTAAATAAAAGTATTTCATATATATTAATAGTAAGGCACATTAAGCCCTCGTTTGGGCTTCATTTTAATGAGATTTTGGAAAAAAATATATTTTAAAATAGTAATTTTTTTGGGAGTGTATAATTAAAAAGTCATGAAAAATTTTAAATTTACGTATAATATTATTTTATTAAAGAATATTTGGTTGAAAATGAAGTAAGGGTAAATGCATTAAATTAAAATAGAGTCCAAACATGGGCTAAATAGGGACTTACAAAAAAACTAAAAATTTAACTATACTCTCAACAAGAAAAATGATCTATAATTATAACAGACAAAAAAGGAAAGCAAACCTATTTTTATGGAACAAAGAGAGGAAATATTATACACTATATTAAAGGGTCAGACTGAATTGAGACGCATTTTTTAGGAAATAAATTTTGTAATAGTAATATTTTCAAGAATGTATTATTAAAAAATAAAGAGAAATTTAGAATTTACGTGTAAAATTATTTTATTTGACGAATGTGATTAAAAATGAGTAGGAAAAAAATGAGTTTTTAAATAATGGAACTCAAACAAGTGCTTTATTTACATTTATATCCCATTGACACAAGATCAACTTTTTCATCAAGTGAATGACATTAAATTTTCAGTACCGAATTGTTTACCCATCTCACATGTACGTTGGCCCCGATTGAATAAAAAAATCCCAAGATGTGATCCCCACCCCCTTATTGTGAATAGTTAGTAAGGAATTAGGTAAAAAAAAAATCGATAAATGTAACATGGTCAATTGAAAAAAGCCTCTACGAAGCAGCTACAAACTACTAAACCATTTGTTGAACCCGAGACATTTTCTTGAGACTCCATCTACCTATATTTTGCCAAGAAAGGCGGTGTCACGAGGAACCTCTTATATACTATCTGAATCATGCTACTCGTACAACTTTCTTTACAACTTCACAATTGGCAAGCTCACATTCCTTCATTTTAAAATTTGTTTTTTAAATCTACGACACGAATTTTGACAACACGTGGATTGTCAAACTAGTTGTCAACAAAAATTGTACACCTAGCATTATTCATACTAAATTCACAAGGAAAATGCTAAGTATACATAATAAATGTACAGAATGGATGACATAATGTGATATGACAACCATCCTGTCGTTGATGTGAAA